ATCCCCACACACCATACACCATCCCCACACACCATACACCATCCCCATACCTCATCCCCAGGCACCACATCCCTACACCACCATGGGACAAGAGGATCTCCCAGCCCAAATCCAGATTGCATCCAGCGCAGCCCTAAATATGTACCTTCTATTAAAAATGAGGTTTTCTCGTTCTCTTCAAACAACACCTGGATGGCATTGAGTGGCAGCTCGCCCTGTTGGGGATAGAAGAAAATCACTGTCTCTTTTCTAGCCCTCTCGGCAGCATTTTCCCACCTTTTAGCAGCTGATGTCTCCAAAACACTGCACAAGCGTTGCCCCCACAGAAGCTGACCTGCTGGCTGGGATTTCCAGCCTGGCAGCCAGGAATCTCCCCTCCATACCCTGCAAAGCCTCACAAAGACAGGGCTGAGCCCCACGGATGCCAGCAGCTGAAACGTGAGCCCTGGGCTGTAGGGCACACACTTGTGGCTGCCACTCCAGTGGCACACATGGCAGAGGCTGAAGCGCTCTGTCCCCAACTCATCCTCAGTGCTGAGCACAATGCAGTCATTGCACGCACGTCCACAATGGCATTGCACAGCCATGGAGGTGGGTTGGTGCTGAGGGAGGGATGACAAACTCCTGCAGTATTTTTCCTGCGTAGGAAAGCCATTTATGGTCCGAGCAGTGCAGACCTTGGGAGGAAAAACTAAAGCAGCGCTCTGTGACTCAGTTTTCCCCTGTTGCTGCTGTAAGAAATGGACTTTGGTGCTGCCACGCATGGGCGGGGGCTGGTGTGGGGCAGGCACAGAGCATCCCTTGCAAACAGCCCTCCTGAGCATGGCAACCCCCAAAACCAGCAAGGAGAAGGGCCAGACTCTTTTCACATCGACGGGAGGGCTCAGCAGGCTTGTAGAAGTGCCGGGAGAAGGCTGCTGTGCCCCAGCATGCCCGTGGAAGAGCCGGTTCACGGGGAATCCCCTGCAGCCCCGCACCGTGGGAAGGCAGCACAGTGAAGGATGGGGAAGACAAATCCAGTTTAAGGTTTCAAAAGAGATGAGTTCATCCAGGAGCCCAACCCAAGGCCCCCTCGTGCAGCGTCCTCTTCCCAGGAGCTGCCGACAACGGGCTCCCGAAAACAAGCTCAGCCCGAGGTGTGGCACAGGAAAAACACCCAGGCGGGTGTTCAGGGAGAGCTCTCATGGTGCATGGCCCTGCTCCAGCCCGTGGATGCTCCACGCAACTCTTCCCACTCCAATTAAAAGCAGCCTGCACGCCGCAGGGCATGGCACGGATGTGGTGACATAGCATCCTGGCGCTGCGCACCTGTCGGCTGGGCACCGCGCTGCTTTTTTCTCTGCTCAGACCTGAAAAAAACAGCCTTGGAGTGCACGTGGCTTCTTGACAGCCCTTGGAGTGATGCCTGAGATGTTGGCTCGGGGGGCCATTCGCACTGCAGGTGATACAGGTGCAGCCCCCATACCACGCATGCTGCCTGGGTGCTGCTGACTTTCACCTCCTCCTCCCTGCATCGCAGTGCTCGGCAGCCAGCTCCTTTCCCGCAGGGCTTTGTAGGAGGGCAAGGTGTTTCTCATGGGAAGAGGGCTTGCAACACCCCGCTGCTGTTCACCTGCCAGCTGGCGAGGGAGGCAGAGCCCTTGCCAAGAGGAGGAGGGGAGCCAGGTAGAGGGAACAAAGAGCCGAAGCCGTGCTGTGGGTTGGGGAGAGAAAAGAGAGATGCTGGAGGATGAATGTACCTTAAAGTAGAGGCCGTTGTGTTCTTCAGACACAATCACCAGCGTGGAGGGGTACAGCACCAGCAGGCGCTCGTGCTGCTCCTAGAGAAGGAAAAGAGCGGTGCTGAGCCCGGGGACAGTGCTCTCCTGCTCCATCCCCAGGGCTCTTCAGGGACACCACGGTGGTGCTACCTGGAAAGGCAGGTGCTGGAGCTTCACTTTGGAAACGCAGAGGACATCACCGAGGGATTCCCGCTGGGTCCCCCTCCACTCCTGGACAGGCATGTTCTGCACCGACCACCGCAGCTCTTCCTTCCCCACCGAGCTCTGCTTCCAGTCATCCTAAAGATGGACCAAAGCAGAGATGTGCCCTCCCCTTTGAAACACTCATCAAGCTCCGGATATTGAGTGACAATTTCCCCAGACCCAACCCAAGGTGCTGCAAGAGGTGATGGGGGAGCAGTGTGCTGCAGAGCACAGCATCACCCAGCACCGAGCCCCTGCATCCCGGCCCCAAGCACCAACCTGAGCAATGAAGGGCAAGCCCAGGTTCCCTCCGTTCAGGTGGATCTGCTTCTCCAGGTGATAGAGCCACTGCTTCAGCTCCGGCTCCGTGGGGCAGAACACAATCAGAGGGTTCAGCAATGGACCTGGGTGTTGGAGAGAGGAGATGTGTTGAGCTATGCAGCATCAAAGGGCACCACATGCTTCTCAGCTTTGCTTCGGCTGTAAATGTATAGACCAACCACTTCCCCATGTATGTATTCATTGCTGCACCTGTGCCAGACAAGCTGCAGTGCAAGTGAAGGCTCACACCCCCTGCTACTCACTGCAGAGACACTCTAATGACGTTAATCATCACTTCTGTCAGGCTGCGGGATGGATGTTGGGATTAATAATTGACCAGTGATCTCAGGTTATAACAAACTCAGTGAGATGGGGATTTGTGGGGCTCAGAAGGAGTCAGATAAGCGAGCGCACGGGATAAACACGGTACTTTGCCCTTTGTGGAGCCTTTCATCTCATGAGACCTGTGTTAGTTATGAAGATCAGGTAATTAAGACTTTGAAACACCTCTGGCTTGTCAGAAATGCACTGACACAAAGACAGCAGGTAGGGGGAGGAAACTGAGGCAGAGCGGCTGCCCCTGCATCACTCTGCTCAGCTCCATCTCACTGGTTGGGTACGAGGAGTTATGCAGGTCCAGGGCTCACCCCTCTTCCCTGCCTTGGTTTCCTCATCTTTGCAATGGGGATCAAGAGATCCCCTGCACAGTAGGGAGTCGAGGTGCTAATAGCATTACCCAGGAACTTGGGTGGCTATGGGTGTTTACCATGGCCCTGCAGAGCAGCAGCAATGACACAGCCGTGCTGAGCAACCTGTGCCAGCCTCGTGCTCCGTCCCACAGCCCCATCCTTCCTCTTTCTGCAGGAAGGCTTTGGGCCATCTCTGAGCCACTTCTACGAGCCAGGCTGGGCTGCTCACAGTCCCACCAGCAGCTGGACCACAAATCCAAGGCATAGCAACATTATCAGCATCTCCTTTTTACTATCTCTGGGTGGCCACGGCATGGCTTTCTCTTCCTTGGCTCCGCATCTTTCCAGCAATCCTTCCCTATTTCTGTGCACTCTAGGCTCTAACTACCACCCCTGGGGCCTTGGGGCTGCTGTAACTCAGCAAAGAAGCCTCTAGCCACACTGCAGACAGCTCATTATCCCTTGTATAAGCAAGGCGAGCGCTTGGAAAGCCTAAAAACTCTTGAAGGCAGCAGCGCTGACAGGGGAGTCCCCACTCAACCCTTTCCCTGCCCGCAGCCTTGGGCATCCCTACCAGCTAAGGATGCAGAGCATCAGTTCCCTGCCTCCTCTCCCCACGGTGTGGTTTTCTGCTTTGTCACCATGGGGCAGCTGTGGTTTCACCCACAGCCTCTCAAACCCTGGGGCACAGACCTGTGATGCGGAAGGCGTGCTGCTCCTCCTGCCCCGCGCTCCTCCTGCTCTCCACCTCACAGACATTCAGCTCTTTCAAAGGCAGCAGGCCCTGCGTGGGAAGGAGACACTGCCGTTACTGGGGCAGCCCACAACAAAGAATGCCCCTTTTCCCATAGGTTGGGCTGCCAACAGCTGGAAACATCTGAGCCTTCAGTCCAGCGCTGCTTCCAGATCTTGGAGAAAACCTCAGCAAAACCAAACACAGGAATATGGGAATAGCACAAAGCGGAACTGAGCTGCTCTCTTCCCATACCCCAACCCTTCACACACAAAGGAATGATGACAAGCATGTGCTCCCATCTGGGGCTCTCGGAACAGGGGCTGTGAGAGATGCTAATTGCTGTGATGTCTTGGGGCCGCTGCTGGCACATTTAATTCCTTCTTAATTCCTTTAGGATTAATAATCCAAGGGGCTGTTTGTAAAGCAGGTGGGGGATTGGTGATGGTGTTTGCATTCTGCTGTGTGTCTGATGGCTGGCTTGCTGCGTGAGTCAAGAGAGCACATCGTCTTATTGCATTAACCTCAAGTGACCTAGAAGACAATAAATCATTTCTAAAAGGGATGAGTTTCCCCATCATCCACAAAGCAGCCATGCTTGGTTGTTGTTACTCACTCCTGCAGAGGGAGAAAGCATTCAGGGTCGGTTTTGGCTGTGATTTTTCGGCTGTATGTGCATAATAGCCTTTAATGAACCCACATCACCAAAGGTTGCTGGTAGAGGCCCATCCCATCTTGGCCATCCCACCCAGTGCCCCCAGTTTGGCCGTGCTGCCCCTTGGAGGTGCCCTACCTGGTAGGTGAGCCCATTGGAGCCCACGGACTGGAAGTAGAGGTGAGACTGGAAGAGCTCCAGGTAGCAATCATTGACCTCCTGCAGAAAACACGTTTGGGGTTTCTGGCAAACATCTGCCACAGCTGTAGGTCCCATTGCCCAGCATTTCTTCCCACATCCCAGCCCTGCAGGGTCAGGCTGTGAATTACCTGGCAGTGCTGAAACTTGAATTTGACCTTGGAATAATAGATGATTTTCCCCAGGTTCCTGACGACCGTTTTCCTCCGTCCCTTCTTGAACAGGCTGGGGAACCTCTGGTCCAGGTTTTCCTTCTGGTTTTCTTGGTTCTGAATGCTCTGTACCAAAGATTGGGGATAAACAAGTCAGAGGTGGGACGTGGGATGGATGGAGGAGGTGTCCCCCAGCACAGCACTCTGCATCTGCTCCGGATTTGGGGTCTCTGTGCTGAAATCAGCTTTGAGCTCAGCTGGCAGAGATGGGGATGTGTGCAGTGGGGGAGACAGGAGCTGGAGGGATGTTTTCTAGGGTGGGAAAGGGAGTGTGCAGAAGCGTATTTAGGGTTTCCCAACCCTGACCTCCTGCCATCCTGACCCAATTGGCTGGGACAAGGACCAAGCAAGGCTAAGACAGTGCAGTTTGCCTTCCAGGCCAGGGGTTTCCCATGTTTCCTGAGCTCTGGTTCGATGGAAATTCCTTCCTTGTGCAACGGCACAAACCCACGCCCCTATTGCACTCCACTGCCTGCAGCCCATGGGGTATTGCACACAGGCTCAGAGATACTCATTGCCAAGCAGAAGAGAGAGGATAAGAGCCACGAGCTCACCCTGAACCAGGCTGCAAGCCTGAGAGGGACCTTTTTCACCCCTTTACATGGGATATTTCCTCCCATGTCGAGGTGGGAGGGCTGTGGTGGTGACATGTTGAAGCAGCATTTCCAGGCACGCAGCAGGGAGCCGGGGGACAGCATAGAGACAGCAGCTGCGCCCCGTGATGAATGCAGAGCCAGCAGCACAAGCTCACCCCTGTGGGCCCCAGTGACTCACCCCGGTGGAATGGCACCAACCCCAGCCATCCCTGGTGCTCAGCGGCTCACAGGACCCTCATACCTGCAGAGCTGAGCTCCTTTTGCACCCACAGAGATCTCTGAAATCTCCTCCAGGTGCAGCTAAGCCCTTGGCTGCTGCGGTCTCCCTCCCAGCTCCACGCAGTGCCATGCACACACATCCAAGCCGTGGGGAGCTGCAGGCTGCCTGGTGATGCTCTCACCAGAGGCAATTAATGTCTGCTCCTGTGCTTCCCAGGCTCAAACCTCAGCACCCACAGGGCCCGGTGACTCAGTTTTTTTCCCCTCCACACCATCACCATCTGCCCTTGGAGAAGCCTGGAGCCAGCTCTTGTGTTTCCAGCTGCAGCCCGGGGTCAGGGCTGGAGGGGGCAGGGGAGCAGCTCTGACCCTGCATGGCCGGTGGGCAAAGGGAGGGATTGGGATTTTTCTCTCTTGAGAAAGATGTAATTGAGAAGGGCTTCCAAGCGCCAGCGGTCTTATCAGCACCGATCAGGTCTTTTGGTCAGGCAGGAAGAAGTGGGACAGCTCAGGTCAATTTTTTACCAGGCGGGGCTCTGTGTTTTTCTCCCATTTCTGCTCCACACGGGCTGCAGGCAGCACGGATCGCAGGTGAGCAGCTTTCTCCCAGGGCTCTGCAAGCAGTGCCAACCCCGACACCTCCTTGCCTTCCCCACATCTCCGCTGCTCATCCCGCAGGTAGAGCCGGTTGCTGATTAACCTGCCCGTACCCTGCAGCCCCCGCTGACTTCCCGCTGAATCACCCTGCAGGAAGGGCTCAGTCCCTCGCACAGTTACCCAAAGCCAGAGCTATGCTCCGGGCAATATCCTTCCCCTGAGGATTTGCTGTGGCTGGGAGGGGTGGGAAGCAAAGGGAAGGGCGGGGTGTGGGAGCTGCACAAGGATGCTAGCTGTGGTGGGGTGGGAGCAGGGATTGGGGGATGCCCCCAGCACTGTGCACGCAGCTAGACTGACTCCATCACCTCCCAGATGGAGGTGTCCCATCACAGGTGGTGCCGAGTTCCACTCAGGATGTCCCTCGTAGCACCATGCCTCAGTTTCCCCCTTTCCTCACATTTTTCCCCACAATTGCCCTACAGCAGCATGCACTCAGCGCCGCCCCATCCGCAGCCCTGGACCACCCCGAGGTCCTGGGCAAACACACAGTGCAGTGTTCCCCGAGCACTGCTGGGATGCAGCCATATGGCCACGGGGCTGCTACGTGCCCGGGGCAGACCTGCCCTTCCTGATTATCTTCCCAGCTCTCATTGCTAAGACGCTGCCTGCTCCGTCTCATTCCAGCGTGGGAATGAATCATCCTACCTTTGAGTGTTCGCTCGCATTTTCCCTTCCTACCCAGAAACAAAGAACTGAGAACAGCGATGATGTTCCCACCACACTGCACTCCCCCCGAATCACACACGTAGAGATGCAGCATGTCCTTATCCCCCCCTCCATGGGGATCCCAAGCACAGGGCTCACCCCTGAGCTGCCCTGCCGTGCAGCCTGGTGCACCTTTGGCCCTGGGATGGGTGGGAATGCAGCCTGTGGGGCAGGATGTGCTGGTACTTGCCTTCCCAGGGATGTACTGCAGGATTTTGTCTGTCGTTGTATCCCTCTCCCCATCGCCGTCTATGCCGAAGAAGCTGGGCAGCTTTTTCTTGCCATTTTGCCTATGGGGCAGGGGAAGAAACGGCACAGATCTGAGCTGATGCAGAGCGAGTTCTGCTCAGAAAAAAAGGGAACTTGGAAAGCTCTGTGAGCAGTTTGCTGTGGGCTTTCTAATCACCCCAGCCCAGCACTGAGCTGATAACCGCCTGGAATGATTACAGCGGGTTTTGTGCTGCACCTGTTGGTGTTTCTTTGTTTTATTTTCCATTTCTTCACATCACCAAATGTTCTCAGCTGAGCCCGGTAGCAGCGATGTCTTATTGCAATGTGCCACCTCCAGCCCCACTGTGAGACCCTCAGGGCAGAGCTGCATGTGCACACGCACACACACATGCATGCATGCACACCACTGGTGTTATGGGGTCTTTGTGGTTTTCCTCTCTTCCCTTCCACCCCCAGCAGAGCCCCCCTGGTACAGCACACAAGGAGCCCCATCTGGGGCTGCAGTACCACCCTGCAGAGGTGTCTGCTTCCCATGGGGGCACAGCAGGGGTCAGGTTAAGTGCCAGGGTTTGGGGTTTTCCTTCTAAAGGGGTAGGGATGGGTGGGATGGGTACACTGGGTTAGGGTGAGGGTGAGAGTTAGGGTTAGGTTTGGTTAAGGTTACCGTTAGGACTATGGCCAGTAACCCTATGGTTAGGGTTACCACCGGGGTTATGGTTAGGGCTACTGTTAAGGTTAGGGTTAGGATTAGGGTTAGGGCTACGGATAGGGTTATGGTTAGAGTTAGGGCAGCACAAATAAAATGCAAAACAAAGGAATGCTGAGCGCTCAGCTCTGTGCCCCACGGTGGGGAGGTGATATTTCCCAACTCCAGTGAAATAAATCACGCTGTTCCTCAGGGCAGTGTGGCTGCAGCACTCCAGCACAGCACCACGATCCCCCCCCAAGGCGCCTCCAGCTGCCGTGGCACCACTCCAAACCCCCCAAACCTCCCATTGCTGGTGGAACACTCTTTGGGATTCCCAAGAAGAACTCAGCGCCGACTCCGTTCCCAACGAAAGCATTCGTACTCACTCTTTCTTCAGCGAAGGTTTCCTCCTGAAGGAGTGCCGGAACCCCCCAGGCGCCTGCGGGACGCACGCAATGTTCCCCATTCCAGCAGCCCAGGAGCACTGGGAGCACTGGGAGCAGAAGCAGAGCGTGTGTCACGCAGCCATGCCCTGCTTCCGTCTGTCGGCACTGACTTGTGGGTGTGAGCCGGCAGCAAACAGACTTTTGGCCCAGGGCTCTCACCGGCTGCTTCTCCTCCGCCCCGTGTAGGGCCGGGACGTTTGGGGAGGGGCTGCGTCCCAGGGCTGAGCCCAGCTCACCGCAGGGGATAGGGCAGAAGAAATGGCCCGGGAACATTCTTCTTCCAGGGAGTCGATGGTCACTGGAAGGGGAAAGGGATGAGGAAAGAGGTGGTGACGACGCGCAGTCGCTGATGACGGTGTGAAAGGTGGATGCAGAGTGAATATCCTTGTCCTGCTGGTTGAAGAAAGAAAAAAAAAGCTGGGCTGGGTGGTCACAGCAAATAGGGAAACTCCATAGTGTTATGAATCAAACCCAAAGCACGCAGAGAGCTCACAGCTGAGGGTTCTGCAAGGAGATTCTTGGGTTGTGGCTGTTTACTTGCAGCATTTGGCACGGAAGGAGTTAATGGGGACAGTGCTATCTTGGTGGGTGAAGAAGGCCCCTGTGGCAGTGAGGGGTTTGCAGGGTGCAGGTTTTGTCCCTGCAGAGTCACAGACCTGCAATAACCCGGCAGAGCAGCAGCAAAGGCAGATGCTGAGAAAGGAGATTTAAGCCCAAAGCAGCGTGTGTGTTTTGAACGGGAAGGTTCGTTCCGTGCTGGAACACCTCCCAGTTATGATGGATTCTTTGACATGGGGTTTTAAGACCGGGAGAGGATGTTTTTGCTTGCAGGGATGTTTGAACCATGCTGGGATTGGCTCTGTGAGGCCATAGGGACACGCTGGGGTTGTTGGACTCCGTTTGCACCCACCTTGTGCTGGAGCTGAACAAGAGCAGCACATCCCACAGCGCCAATCCCGCAGCTGGGGAGGGGGCTGCTAAGAGCAGAACATCTGCCAAAGGCTCCTGCACCTTCCACTTTTAAATCAGCCCCTTCTCCCACTCCTTGCATAACTCATTAACCCTTTGTGGCCAGGTAAAAGCGTGGGACACCCCCTGCCCCCTGCAGGAGCCCCATATATCTTATGGCCGGGCACTTCTGCACACCCTGCACAGCCAAATGCTGGCGACTCCTGGCAGCCACCGAAGCTCACAGCCAACGGCAACAACTGGGATTTGGTCAGGAAAGGTCCGATTTCTGCTAAGAGCCGTGGCTAACACGCTCAGCACCGTGACCAGAAACGTGCTGTTCCTCCGCTGTGTTTGCTGGGCTCCAGACCTCGGAAAGACTTTTACAGTTATTTATAGAAGCCCGAAAGAGAAGCAGGAGCCTGGGGAGCAGACAGAAAGAGGACACGGCCGGGCTACAGCCAAGCCAGTGTGACAGCACAGGGCTCTGCTGCAGGGCTGGGAGTGTGTGCACAGGAAAGTCCCCCCTCGGGCCCCACGGATGCGGTTACCCCTTGCCATGCAGCTCCACGCTGCCCTTTTCACCCCCTGCTCCCATGAAAGGGGTCTGGCACTCCCCCCAGCCAGCAGTGAGTGGCAGCAGCTCATGAAGGCAGATCCGAGCCCTCTCCTCCCGCCCCGGTGACAGCTGGAGGAAAGGAGGATGTTTCCCGTCTGGTTTTCATTTCCACGGCAGGGAAAGCTGTCAGCAGTGCTGGAGGCTCCTGGGGAGCCCAGGCTGGGATTTAAAGGCTGAGAGAGGTGTAAATCACTCTGCCTCCAAAGCCCCCATGCCTCGAGCTGGGTTTGTCCCAATGAGCTCCAGCAGGACCCCCTCCCCTTGCTTTGTCTTCCCAGCAGTGCTGTCTGAGTCCGCCAGGGAAGTGCAAAAGAAGGATGCAAAAGGCAGGATCCTGTATTCAAGAAAACGTCTTTATTGTACACGTTGGCTTTGTATTGCTTGTATCCCCTCCCCGGTCCCATGTAGTGCAAAAAATTCCTTGAAACGGAGTTCCACATAAATAAGTAGGGTAACTTACAGAGAAACCAAAGTGACAACGGTTGGACGTGGACACGGCGGGTCTGCCAGCGGCGAGGGGCGAGCTGTGCCCATAATGGGGTCAGCACTGCCAGCCACAGCGGGACCCCTGGGGGACACAGCGGGAGCCCCCCCGCCCAGGGGGACGGAGCTCACATGGGAAACAGCACATCTGGGGACGATTTGGGGCGAGACAGCACTCAGTGAGGACGGCAGAGGAGCCGCGGAGAGCTGGCGGTTCTCCTCCCCACGCAGGGACGGACACAGACGGACGCACGGCCCCGCTGAGGTCGTGCAGCACCAGAAGCAATCCCGACCCCGGTGTCAACCCGGGGGCAGGTGCCGACACCTCGTGTCCACACAGTGCGGGTCGGGGTGCTCCGGGGACGATTTCTCCCTTTCCTTCCTTCGTTTCCCACAGAGGAAAGCAGTGAGCACCTGCATAGTTAGGACATGGGGCGCCGGAGGCTCCCCAGGTTTCTGTTTTGCAGAACAGCCTCGGGGCTGGTATTGCTCAGGACCCAACTGGTGGGTGACAGAGGTGATGCTGCCCGTGCTGCTGATCCCCAGAGGAAGGACAGCATCGCCATTGCTGAAGGTTCCCACCGCCCTTCTTCCATTCCTCTCGTTGGCCTCAGCAGCAGCATCTCCTTCGCAGAGGATCCTGGAGCTGCAGGAGTCCAGCAGCGTTACACTCCTCGTGTTGCTTACAGGGATGGTATGAAAAGAAGCCAGACCTCTCTCATGCACGCACGCACACCCATGTACATGCACACTGTGTCCATTTCACCCATGTCAGGGTTGATTTGAACTAAACTGGGGGGGTCCTTGGCTCATCCCAAACTCAGCTTTCACCCCAAGGAGCGGAGAAAGCAGGGAACCCCTATTGAAAATTTAGGCCAAATGCCATCACTGTGCAGATGGGGTGGACTTGATGATCTCAGCAGTCTTTCCAACCTTAGCGACTCTATGATCACGATCCTACAGGTAAAATATGAACACTGTAAATGGGAAATGAGGAGTGCGGGAACGAGGAGAAAGGCATCAGCCTGAAACAAACAAACAAACAGTGTCACCATGTTCCCAAGGCCACAACTGGATGCTGTTGAGGTACCGGTGGCAGAGTCATTCCCCTCCAACGTGGGGAACACTCTCCCAATCCAAGACTCACACCCTACAGCACACACACTGAAATCTAAGCAACCCCAGAGGTTCCATGGCACAGGTCTGGAAGGACAGGCTTGTGATTTACGGTGCTAATTGATTCCAACCTTCATTTGAAGTGGTTGCCTAATTGCCAAGGAGTTGCTAATTGCGCACGGTCCCTTCCGTGCTGTTTTCACTGTACATATGGTATCTCACACATGCACACACACCCACACATCTATAGAGAACGTCTTCCAGGACGCAGTCATCATCTCATCAACAATTAAGAAAAGTAATTGCATCCCTTCTGCTGCCTCCAAAGCAGATGGGATGGGGAATACCGGCAGGGTGTAAAAATAAAATGATATGAAGTCATTAAAATTAAAATCTTGCGTTCAAATTAAAAAAAAAAAAAATAAGAAGGTGAAAAGTGAACGCCAACAAAAGTAACGCCAGGCAATCCTCCTTGTCTGGAAGGCTGGACCTTGCCATCAAGCTGGAATCTGCTCTGCAAAGAGGGAAACAGCAACAGGCTGCTCTGTTCCCAGCCAGACGGCGCAGTGGGATGCATGGAGGGAGCAGGGATGGGTGCAGGCAGGTCCATCCCATCCACTTGCATGGCTCCCCATGGCCGGTTGGGTCCATGTGAATGAGGCTTTGTCTCCAAACTTCACCTCCTCCAGGCCCGGTCCCTTCGCTGGGCTTCATTTGTGTATTTTTAAGGCATCAATTAGACACCATTGAGAACCGTGCGGCGGCCTCAGAGTCTTTAACAGTGCACATTAGGCTTGGTCAAGAGTTTGGCTACAGTGACATTCGGAGGGATGCTGCACATCCAACCACGTCCCTGGGAGGAGCACTGCCCACCACGGCGAAGCCCCTGGGTTGGCTGTGCTGCCCACGTGGCACCGGCTGGATTGCCTGAATCCAATAAGCAGCGAAGGTTTTGAGGTCCCCTTCCCCAAAGAAAACACGTAACCCTTTGGGAGAGCGGTGAGATGAGTCCAGGGATGGAGGGTGGTTCCCCCAGGAAGCACAGTTTGGGGCTCGCTGATCCAAGGCGTGTGCCAGGGATGGCTCCAGGCTCCATGGGAGCAGAGGGGCTGGGAATGGCAGCCAAGGCCTTTGCTCTGCTCCTACAGCGAGCGGCTGCCCCGCAGGACGGACCCCCGACCCCCTGGAGGTAAGGCAGGTCCCGATCCTTTGTCAAAGGCTCGTCGAGGACACGGAGAGAGTGGGAGATGAGGGAGGTGGGAAGTTGAGCAGTTCCAGCACGGCCACCCCAACGCTGCTGCGACGGGTGAACATGCAGGAGGCTGCCACCCATTTGTTGGTACGTGGGTTGTACTTCTCGATGGAGTTCAGGCTGGAGCTGCCGTCGTTGCCACCCACCGCGTACAGCCAGCCGTCCATGGCCACCAGGTCATGGGTGCTCCTAGAAGGAGCACGCAGAAACAGTGCAGAGCTCAAACACTGCCTCCAGTCTTTCCCTTTGCTCTGATATGCTGCTGCCTTTGTGCAGGGAGCATGGAGCCAGCAGGGCTAGCCAGCCCCCCCCCGGGCACGGTCTGCATTTCGCAGTGCCGAGTGAAGCAAGGCTCTTAGAGACAAGCTCCCAACCCTCCCTGCAGCAGCTGCAACCCAGCAGTTCCTTACCTGCGGATGTTCATGGGTGCCACGCTCTCCCACGTGTTGGTTTTGGGGTTGTAACGCTCAACAGAGTTAAGGCAGCTGGTCCCATCATTTCCACCAGCCACGTAGAGCATCCCCTCCAGCACAGCCACCCCTGCGCTGCTCCGGCGGCTCAGCATGTTGGCAATGGGTGTCCACGTGTTGATCTGGGAAGGGGAAATATGGATTAATAAGCCACAGGTATGGGTCATTTTCCACGTGTCCCTGTGATGTTAGCCCTGGTAGGACAATTAGGGCAGTGCCCTAACCCTAATCCTAACCCTAACCAAAAGACTTCTTGCAGGATCCCAGCTCTTTTCCCTTCATCCAAAAGGCCAGTGAGGAGCAACCCTCATTCCA